TGGGGACAGTGTGTCGTCGATCTAACGGTCGGGACAACCCGTTAAGTGGGACCCTGGTCGTCTGACGGATATGTAGGAAGTATGGTATTTGGATTTAGATCTGATGTTTTTCTCTCAGAAGATCTCACACAAGATGAAGGTTGAAAGTAATTATGTGGAAGATTCACTCTCTAGACTTTTTCTCTCAATAATCAACCTTTGAATTTCGTACAAAATGACTTCTGAAATTTAAAGGTGGGGTAGAAAANTAGATAACTTCCATAGGAGAGCCTTCAATATTTTGGTCATATCTTTCTCTCCTGATATTCAATTGAGGCGATTCAAGATGATTTTAAAAATTGACTAAAAGGGCTAAAGATCTTCCAGAAATATAATTTTTCCAATTCCGATGTTTTCTATGCCAGAAAAGGGGTCCCAAACTGAGACTGAATATCCGGAGCAGAACTTTTTCGACTAGGAGTTGATGTGTGATAATGCTTTGACAATATTTCATACCTTTGGCTTCTTTACTCATCCAATTGATGCCTAACACTCTCAGATCTTCATATCTTCATTTTGCCTTCCGAGTCATCTTTTAAGTATTTGCAATTTGGTCCTTGAACTTTTGTTTTCTTCCACTTTGGCTATTTCTCACTTATCTCTCCTAAAATTTGTCATATCTATCAAATTGCCATCTAAATCAAAACATAAAGATAATGAGTGCATTTTGGTATCAAATAATCACACGAGAACAACAAATAAGAGGAGAAAAATATGATATTTTACACTCTTATCAATTCCTTGCAGTGGAATTTGTGTCGAATTTGGATATGACTCGAATTCTTTATTGAAGATAACTGAGAGTTCTAATTAAATTACATGTTAAGAAGAATTTTGTTTGGAATGTTTTTGGAATCCAATTCGAAGTTTATTCGGTAAATTCTAGTTAAAGTTCTACTTGAAAGCTCATTGGGAGTTGGAATTTGTGTTGAACTTGAAGAAAAACATCCTAGAAGATAATTGGGATGGAGACCGGCACCTAGGTGCCACCAACGTAAAGCTGGATCAGAATGTCGGGTTTGGACGACCTCTATTTATTTTCTATATATAGTGGCTCTTTATTATGATTTAGTAAGAAGTAAGAAACATTGTTAACACATAATTTTTGTATTCTTTCTCCATATTATAATAAAATTTTCATTCTATGCAAATTAATTTGTTCTTATGTTTTTGTGATCAATTACTTCATATTGTGGCTATAATCTCGTATCGTCTTCAACAAATTGGTATCGTAGTTATCCGGTATTATCTCCGCTTTTCTGAACATTTTGAATTGTGAATTTTTGGAGAATGAATGGTTAGAAAGTAAGGAAAAATTTTGAATTTATATACATAATATTTTATTGTACGAATGGGTATGTAGAAAAAGAAAAGTTTCGAAAAAAGCCCATAAAACATGAGCTAACTTTTGTCACATATAGGAATGTGGATGAGCAATAAAACTAAAAATAGTGAAAGTCGGTTATATACGTGTGATAAAGAAAAAGTGTTGTCACTTAAAAGACAAAAGAATTAATCAATTACCACAGAAACTTGAGTTTTTTGCTTTTATAAACGGATAGTTTGGTCTGATTTTGAGACATTATAATGAGAAAAGGAATCTATTGCCAAATGTCAGCGAAGGCCGAAAATGATCATAACTTTCTTCTTTATAGAAATTTATTGGCTTATCATCACATGGAATCTATTACTTTTTAGATTTTGCATGTAAAGAAGCTTCATAATGGTTCAAAGGGCACATGTAACGGCTTTAACGGTGCAAGGAGAAAAAGTATGTATGTATGTATTTACTCATTCCTCAATAAACAATGAACCAATTATGTGGTTTTCTTCATTGGTAATTAGATTAAAGAAAACTAATGAAGTTTAATTAGTTAAACTTCAATATTGGACCGAAAATGCATGTGTTATTATGAGTTTGATTTTCTTGTTTGATGATTCACTGCATTTTCCATTTACACAACTTTTTTTTATGTTGACCCGAACTTGCACTAATTCAAAGCATAATTTGTTTACAAATTTAAAGGAAATAACTCCTTTTTGGTATATCTTAATTTTATTTCAATTACACAAACGTGATTATCGTAACATTGTTAGTCATATTAATGATTTTATATATTACATAAATTAAAATAACATAATATAGAAGTAGCGTGACATACATTTAAGATATATGTATGTGGTTAAATAAATAAATAATGAGTATGCTCAAGTTCCAAAATAAATAGCAATGATATAGGACTTGTGGCACGTTTTCTCCACTTTGTGATACTATTGGTAGATTTGATTGGGTTCTGAATAACACGACCCACTGCATTCTGATTAGCTATAGGCGATACATCAAATGAGCTCACGACGTTAACATTTCTCTTCGTTGTTCCCAAACAGGTATATTAGAAACCTACGAGTAATTTCTCTTCAATTTAGACCTATATATCAACATGTTAGGTCCACTTCGTTGTTCCCAAACAGGTACTCCCAGTATGGTTATTGTCAGATGGCCTAGAGAAAGGAATAGATATAGACACAAATAGGAACTTCAGTTGTATTTTGGGAAAATCAAGTTCAAGCCTTTAACATCTTAAAAAATCCAACAAAAAGGAGTTGTATCTTGAATCTTGTTTTTTCTTCATTATTATCTTCTATTTGCAATGTATTCTATAAAATATTATCTTTTTTTTTTTTATCATTTATATAGCATGAACTAAGTTTTATTGTTGGGATTTATAGTTGTGGGGCATTTTATCTCTTTTGATTTTACTTTTCCTTCGTTGGAAGATGGTTTTGGCTTAACAGAGCATCAAATATTAACGTTACATTAATTGACACAAACAATAGCAAAAAAAAATTATTGTCGAAAATATGTTATCATTTTAGAGGAGAAAAGGGAAAACATTTGTTTTACTTCACAAAATATCAGAACTTCCAATTTATAAATCGTATTTGTTCATTTTATGCATTTTTCCCTTTTACTATTATCTTCTATAAATTATATGAAAATATGTATTTTATTCATTTGTTAATTCATTGTAAACAAACAAGTTGATCTCAATCGTATTTTGAAAAAATAATCTTGAAATGTAAAAGTTTTTTTTCACAATAAATACATACAGAAATAGATAGTAATCCATAAGAAGACAATTATCAGGGTTCAGGCACTGCATGTGCATGTCTGTAAGGGTGTGTGGGCTTAATGGTATATTAAATGCATAGAATATTATTTTTGGAATTTTGATTGGGAAACGTTAACTGTAATTTGCCAAATCAGAAAAGTCAAATTTCAAGGAGCAATTACCACATGTGGTGTGACCTCGAGCCTTGCTGAGACAACCCGAAGAAGGGACCGTTCGCCAGAATCTTATTATGTATATCCCCCCCTCTCCCCACTTTTCACCTTTTTTATTTCTTCCCTAAAATTTTAAATCTACATACAGATTTTTTTTAATGTATGGTGTAATGTATGGTGAAAATGAATATGAGAAATAAAGTGTTTTAAACTAAAGAGAGTCAAACATGGACTCGATAGGTGGGTCTTGCAGTCAAGCTCCCTTATGTCTTTGCACTCGAAGTTCAATCTCCATCCAACTCAAGCAATTGAATACCCGCACGTGTGAATCATGTATAGTTATACACATGGACTGTTTGTTAATCAATGACTATATTTATTTTTTATTTTTTATCATTTCTTAAAAGAATTAATAGGAATTTAATAAAAATAATAATTTTAATACCTACCAGGGCTAAATATTTTTAAGATGGGCAGTTTGCCAATTTCTTTTAATTTGCGTTCAAATCACAATTATATATTTATTTAATAAAAATAATAATTTTAATTCCTACCAGGGCTAAATATTTTTAAGATGGGCAGTTTGCCAATTTCTTTTAATTTGCGTTCAAATCACAATTATATATTCTTGTCCAAGCCAACATTCTTGAGCAATCATGACTCAATAACAGCTATATTGTGGTCCCAAGGTGCACATTAGCAGCACATTAGGAAAAAGTAATAGATCTACAAGAGTAGGTCTGGTTCTGCATCTTTGACAGTTGCATTAAACTACTTTAGACCTTGATTACATTACATATTGTATATCGAATGCAGTTTAACCATTAAAAATGTAATATTTTGCCTGCAGATTAGAGACTTAAAAATTTATGTTGAAGCCCAGCGAACGGTTGCAAACATGAATGATTCAGACAGTGTCAAGGGAGGGAGTGTTTTGCCGGTAGAACAAGTCAGTCATCATCAGGCAACCGAAAAAGACATACAAAGCCAGGCAGACGTCACAAGTAGTAATAACTAATTAGAGCTCTTCAAGATTGCATTCCTCCCTCTACCTCTGTCGGTACCACCTCGAACTCCGTCGGTACACTCTCTACCTCCGTCGGTACCCCCTTGGACTCCGTCGGTACCCCCTCACCTCCGCCTGTACCCCTTCGTCATCCGTCGCCCCTCCATCCACCTCCGTCGGTACCCCCTGGGAACTCGTCGGTACCGCTTCCACCTCTGCGGGTACCCCTGGAACCTCGTCGGTACTGGTATCCTCCCGTTCGCCTCCACCTCCGTCGGTACCCCCTCCTCCGGTACCCTCCCTGGGAACCCATCGGTATCGCCTCCACCTCCGCGGGTACCCCCTCGGACCTCGTCGGCATCGGTACCCTCCTGTCCGCCTCCACCTCCATCGGTACACCCTCCTCCGGTACCCCATCAAAAAATGAGTCATAATCTCCCCTCGGCCACGACAGATCATCATACCCCATCTGTCTCGCTCCAACGTCACCCCCTCCATCCCGATGACTGCCAGTCCCTCGTAAGGCTGCTACGTCACCCCATAACGTACAGACCTCAGTCTGAAGGTTTCCTATCTCGCGCTCTTTAAGAGGTAGAAAGCATACCTGGGGCTAGATGGATATAAACATTCAGAAATTGCATCTGTAAATTAAAGAAAAGTCAGCACCATTCAAGGTATAATTCTGCTTTTGTAGGTAAGACGATGCTTACCAGGTGGGTCTTGAACTACAGCGGCAGTGTTTGAGAAGCTACAACTCCCCTGAACCTGAGCACATCTTTGATAATAGCTATTCACTGCAAAATTACAATGATTCTCGACAGTATTTGGCTGAAAACATGGGCCATTTTTCATAATTGGAGAACAATCTGCTCCAGCTCCACATGCATAATCAATGTTCCTCTGGTAAATCGCATCACTCAATCCATCATTACAATTGCAATAATATGCATCTGCAAAATAAAATTTACATATTCAGATTACAAGAAAACTATACTAAGGGGATAAAAGAATAAGTACTAGAGAAGACAATAAAGCAGGATACTAGAGCTTGCTTGCCTGCATTTCCAGCCATGGTAAATAAAAGTGCTAGAGCTGCTATGAAAACAGACACGATCATTTGAAGACCCAAAACAAATTGTGAGGCAGAGACTTTTAGAGCAATGAAACTGGGAATTAACTTTATTTTTGGGTATTTTTGCGGCATTAACTCACTGAGTTGAGAATTCTCCAATTGAGGGTCCACTAAGGACTCATTGGAGAATTCTCAACTCATTGAATTGAGAATTCTCATTGAGTTGAGATACAACTCATTGAGTTGAGAATTCTCCAATTGGGGTCCACTAAGGACTCGTTGGAGAATTCTCAACTCATTGAATTGAGAATTCTCATTGAGTTGAGAATTCTCCAATTGGGGGTCCACTAAGGACTCATCGGATTAACACTTTTTTTGGCCGTTGGTTAAAAAGTCAAAAATACCCTTGACCACAGTTTCATAAAAAAAAACAAAACTTAATATTGCTATTTCTTATTTTACCCTTCTTGCCTTCCAAACCTATGAAAGATTTCTTCTTTCCCATTTCTTTTCTTTCCTTCAATCGGCCTTTCTTCTTGCTTTTCTTCTCGATTCCTCTCTCAACCAAAGCTAAAATCCGCAAAATCAAATAGAAGAAATTTCAAATACTATTGAATATTTTTTATTCATCAAAGTTAAAAATAAGTATATAACTTGATTTTTCTAATAATAAAAGTAATTAGTTTTACTTTAAGCAAGCAAAACCATAATTTCCTTTCTTTTATATGTTTGGAGTTTGGATTGACGGGGAAGGGCCTTCTTGGAAGTTTGATGTCAGTACAAATTTTACAAACTTGACTTTCCTATAATTTTTTTTTGTCAGAGGGACCCATCCAGATTCGCTGTTCTTCTCTAATAAAAAGTGCAATATCTAATGTTTCAGCGTATTGTTAAAATCAACTTTAAAAACGTTCTTCCACTATGTAAATTGTGAGACTTTTAGAGCAATGAAACTGGGAATTAATAGAATGTCTACCCTCTTATAAGATCCTGTTTGGAAGTTATTGTTCTTTTTAACGTGCGATTGAAAATGAGTAAAAGAATGAAAATGAACGTGACTCAAATTGAACTACTATCTCATGAAAGGCCTTCTTGGAAGTTTGCTTTCAGATCAGCATAAATTTTACAAACATTACTTTCCTCGAATTTTTGTTGTCAAATGGACCCAAATGACAAAAGGAATGATAGGAGATCATTTGGGTCCCTCTGACTAAAATGGGTTCCCATTTGAGCAGTGCTACACGTGTTTTTTTGATATCAAAATCAGATACATGTGTCAAACACTGACTGGACAATTTAAAAAAAGAAAAGACAATAATTCTGCTCAAACAAGGACAAAAAACTTATTTTACCCTTCCTTCCAAACCTACGAAAGATTTAGGGGGCGTTCTCTTTGTGTTTCAGTTTTGTATATTGAGTTTTGAATTCGTTTTGTGTTTTGTGTTTTGAATGTCTGTTT